CTCAGCTAGTAAATAAATTGCAAGTATTTTATGTGACCTGAAGGTTTGTTACCACATTCAAAAAGAATGTGCTATTGGTCTCAATCCAAAATGAATGACTGCATGCATGCATGCATGCATAAGGAGTGGGCCATAATAATCCAGTCCTTGTACTGTGACCTTCAATGATCTGTTGTGCAATCCTTTTTCTGACGCTGATTAAAATGTGTTTAAATGAAACATATAGTAAAGGCCTTGTAGATAAATGTTTGCCTGATAAATTTCCTATCCAGAATGGTCTAAAACAAGGAGATGCTTTATCGCCATTCCTTTTCAACTTTGCTTTAGAATATGCCATTAGGAAGGTCCAGGGAAACCAGGTGGGACTGAAATGAAACGGGACACATCAGCTGTTGGCCTGTGCCGATGATGTGAATCTACTGGGTGATAATGTAGGTCCCATAAAGAAAAACACAAACTTTAATTGATGCAAGTAGAGGGGTTGGTCTAGAAGTAAACACAGAGAAAACTGAGTATATGTTGCTGTCTCATCACAAAAATGCAGGGGAAAATCATGACATGACGATAGGAACAAGATGTTTTTCATAATGTGACACAGTTCAGATATTTGGGAACAGTGATAACAGATCGAAACCTGATTCAGGAGGAAATTAAGAGGAGACTGAACTCGGGTAATGTTTGCTACAATTTAGTCCAGAACCTTTTGTCTGCTGTCCAAAAACATAGAAATTGTAATATGCAAAACTATAATTTTGCCTGTGGTTCTGTATGGGTGTGAAACTTGGTCTCTGACATTAAGGGAGGAACATAGAGTAAGGGTGTTGAGAACATTTGAACCGAAGAGAGATGAAGTGACAGGAGGTTGGAGAAAACTGCACACTGAGGATCTTCATAACTTGTATTCTTGTCAGAGTATAATTAGAATGATGAAGTCGAGGAGGATGAGGTGGGTAGGGCATGTAGCACGAATGGGGGAGACTAATGCACATAGGTGATTGGTGGGAAAGACAGAAGGAAAAAGACCACTGGGAAGACCAAGGCTTAGGTGGGNTCTCGACAAAATAAGAACTTTTCTTCTCAGATGCTTTTCTCTATGATGTACCAATTCCCTTCAGTCTTAGGCCTTAGTGTCTGCATTGCACAGTTCAACAGCTACACGATTCCAATCATTCTTCATTACTAGTGATTTAGGGCTTCAGGCTTCCCATGAATTTCAGCATTAATTTTTCTGAACTGGTTACTACAAACACAAATCACAGCATAGTCACATATAATGACTATATCAAGATTTCAAAGGGAGAATTGTTATATGGTGATTCACTCGGGTAATACAAATACAGGTAAGTCAATGATGATGGTACATTGCTACAAGTACTATGTTTTTGGACAATATCCATCGTCTGGAGATAGGGACTAGCTCTATCTATTGGACCCAACTGAGTAGGTTGTACTCGTACCTGAGGATGGGGACAGAATTCAGTCTCGGAAAAATAAACAGGACGGTTTTTAGAACATAGACAGGATGATGGATAAAGTCCAGAAACAATACTTATATGCTGCAGGATTTAAACTGTGTGGGGGTACCTTGGGGAAACAAGGCATGGAATATTAAAATATTCTCCAGCAATATACTGTGGGAATAAAGAGATAAGGGCAGTGACTACAGCTGACTGCCATTCAACGGGGGTTCCTAAGTGTCATGAGGACCTAGTATACCTACTTTGGCTTTGTTAAAAGTTGAAGTTGAAAATCTGATGATCGCATTTCTAAGACCTTCAGCCTTAAGTTTCCATGTCTTTATGCTGCATCTAGTTATACACTGATATGGCACAAGCCCTGCTAAATCTTGCAAAACTTAAAAATGGCCTGAAGATCATATTCGAGGGAAAAAGAATCATGTGAGTATAGTTGGTGGGGCAAGGAGTCTGTTCCCTCTTCCACATATTAACAGATGCTCCTGTATTTTTGTTTGGTAGTTCATCAGTTCTTTGTTTAGACTACCAAATAGTAACACACTGTGACAAGAGAAAACATGTCTTTCAGAACATATTCTGAGCACGTAATGTTTTCCTGTGTTGCTGAAAGTGCATGTAGCTACCTTCTGTCTGGTCATATCTAGAGCATCTGTTAACAATTTGTTTTACTGCAAACTGCTAGTGTACTTCAGACAAGGTAAGTCAGCATCAGAGTTACTGCTAGAATAAATGTGTCAACCTAGGAACTTACATAGTTTTGACAAGGTGAAATTATATTTAAATCATTACTCATTTCCTGAAATGTGGTTTACAAAATCCAATCAAATACACATACTCAATTGATTCTGTTAATTCCATAAACTTCACTGTTCAAGGCAGAATAAATTAAAACATTTCAGAAGACAAATGATCAATTACAGATTTTAAGAAGTCACTGTGCTTGCCAGTAAAATTGTGAGAATTTTCTTTAACTGCATCCTTAGCACTGTAAAAGGTAATAGTTAATTTTGCTTAGTGGGTCCACTCCGCATGGCAGCCAGTGATTGGCCTATTGCACCTGCCCCTGGTGATTATGATGATGGAGAATTTGGTGGAATGAGGATTGGCAGGGGAAACTGAAGTACTTGGAGAAAACCTGCCCCAGTGCCGCTTTGAACAACAGAAATCCTAGTTGACCACACCTGGGCTGCCACGGTGGGAAGCCAGCGACTAACCGCTTGAGGTATGGCACGGCCAAAGGTAATAGTTAGTGTTAGCTTGTGTTCAGACCTTAGCTATAATGTAAGTACCCAGAGTCTGCTAGAATGCTTCACTACCAACGAAGAGTAGATGGTATTGTGACAGGTCTCACAAGAGTTCACATACCTTGATGGTGTTAGCGAACAAACAGGTTGATAACTAAAAGAGCCACAGAGAGGAAGATGAAAATACTGACACATCAGGAAGTCATTAGGAAAGTAATGATTAATTTTTGTCCTGTAACATGCTGTCCATACCAAATCCAGGAAGCCATCTGAGAGCAGTTACTGAATTACTGGAAAAATATGTGTACCAACTGGTTACATGAGCATCATTATATGTTTTTGTAAGTTGGAGAAAGTAACCTTGGTGACAATCAATTGCAGTCAGCAACAGAAACTAGCATGCCTTCATGTGCTCTTGTCTCAACCCTCTGATACTGAGTATTTTTTGATAACATCCCTCATCTACAGTCAGGGTTTACATACAAGAAACCTATTCTGAATTTGATCTCCATCTATTGCATGCTTTGCGGACATATTTCCTACATCTCAGTATATTAGAGGTTGGTTTTCAGAAGATGGTCAGAGTACATTCTGTCCTTTATCTTCAATCGTGAATAGTGTGGGAAATTGTTTTGTGACACACATGTTTTTGTTCATGTGTTGGTACAAATGTTTATTTGCAGATTGTGTTGTATGTATACAGGTAGTATGGTTATGTTAATACTGTATCATATGATTAATTAATTTTTCAAGTAATGCTATTATTGTACAAGTATTAAGTATTTGCACTTGTTCCGCATCCCGTGCTTCCAACCACTACCTGGATCGACCTGGATCGCCTTGGATTTACGAAACGTAAATAGATACAAATTCAAACTGCCGTTCTGTTTCTAGTGAATTACGCACAGGTAGCAGCACATTAATGATGTAGCGACCGTAGCGACGGTAGCGACCTCTGTGACTACTAGTTTCTCTGTGGTTGTGTGTGTGTGTATCAACGGATACCAACGAAATGTATATATAAATATATGGAAGTGGTATTGGTCGGTTTAGAATGTTTCATAGAAGGTTAATTGTTTTATTTAAGATCACGCACAGACTTTATTCTTCAGCACGTGCACGAAGCGAAGAAACCGTCAAATATATATCCGTCAATGGTAGAGAGTTTCAGTGTGATTCATGGAGCAATGTCTCGTCAAAAATTCTGTCTCACTTGGGTAGAAATCTGCATTTACAACAGTATCACCCCTTGTCACTAATTAAGCAAAGGATTGTGAATCTGTTCTACAAGAGATTTGTTGGGCGTACAGGAAATCCAGTTTTCTCTGTGTATAATGACTTGAGTCCTGTAGTCTCAGTGAAACAAAATTTTGATAGCTTGCTTATCCCACCTGGCCATGCAAGTAGAAAGAAAAGTGATTGTTATTATATAAATCGTGATTACCTACTACGAGCACATACTACAGCTCATCAATCAGAACTTATAAACATGGGACTTAATAATTTTCTTGTTGTTGGGGATGTGTATAGGAGAGATGAGACAGACTCAACTCACTATCCTGTCTTTCATCAAGTTGATGCAGTTAGGCTTTGCAATAAAAATGAAGTGAGTTTCAAAGATATGCAAGAAGATGCCCCATTTTTCAGTGATGTTGTAAGTTTAGCATTAAATTTTTTTTCTTAATTTTATACTAGGTTTTCAGGTCCATTGAAAATGGTGATGAAATGCCTATATTTGAGAATAATGGCATCAGAACAGCAGAGAAACAGGAAACACATTCACTAGAAGCAAGTAAAATAATGGAAGAAGAGCTGAAGGCTAGTCTTGTTATGCTGACCCAGGATTTGTTTGGGCAAGGTGTGACTTTTTGTAACATTTTTGTAAGGATTAGCTCATTATGGCCATTTATTTGCACCTCTTTGTCACCTCCAGACTTGTTTCAGAATTTGTTTTGTGAGCATTTGACCCAACACAAACACATAATATAAAAGAAAATTTAAGTAGTCTGGTGTACCACACTGTTACATTATTTTCTCAAGTAATAATATAAATATGTGCATGTGTTTGTATTCATTCTTCAATTTCCAAATGGAACATATTTGTCATGTATATTTCTCTTCTCTGCCATGTAATACAATTTTGATTCTTATCTAATAGCTTCTCTGTCTCCTAAAAGGAAAGTGATAGTTCCACTTTGGTATAGACAGGGATTGAACAAAATAATGGAAACACTATAGATACTGTATATACTTCTTTATTAATATGGTGTTGGACCACCTTTTTCCTTCAGTACAGCAGGAATTCTTCTTGGAATGGTCTCCCACAAGTTTTGAACAGCCTCTAGCAAAATTTTATACCATTCTTCTTGAATAACATCTTCAAGTTGCTTCATAGATGTTAGAGGTGGGAGTCTGTTCCTCGCTCTGGTCCTCAAAACTGACCAGAGTGGTTCAGTGTTGTTCCAATGTGGTGACTGTGCTGGCCAGGGAAGTTCACCTTCATGCTCTTCAAACCATGACTGAACACTTCCAGCTCTGTGAATGGGGGCATTGTTATGTTTGAAAACTGCATTGATGTTTGGAAATAACGTCTGGTTCATGGGATGCACCTGATTACCCTACCTGTCCACATACTCCCTTGCATGAATTCAGCCATGAGGGTAATAATGGGACCAACAGAATGCTGTACTACGATACTTCTGCCCGAACCATCACAGAATCTCCCTTGTGTCCCACTGTTGGAAACAGGCATTCCGGATTGTAGGCTTCCTTGAGTATTCTCAAAACGTAAACTCTTCCTGATCTAGGGAATATTGTGAAGGATGACTCATCTGACCATAACACGCATGTTTCCAGTTTTCTGATGTCCAAGTTTTGAAACTTGGTCTTTCACACTAAGGGAGGAGCACAGGTCTTTGAGAATAGAGTACTGAGGAGAGTATTTGGACCAAAGAGGGAGGAGTGACTGAATACTGGATGAAGCTGCAGCTTCATTTCATGATTTGTACTTTCCATAACACATTCTAAAGATGATTAAGTCACAGACTTCACTTACCAACTGTGGACACCATGATCCAATAGAAAGGACCAAGACCAACAAATCTGACCCTGAAATATGCACACATCATCAAGGTACACCAACCTCAGAAGGTAGCTTTTATTCTTCATCATGAACACTCAACAAATGGAAGACATCAACAACTAAACTGTATCTAATACCCACACATGATGACTGCACTATTGTATTCAACTGCCAAAGGAATATCTACAAGTTTTTCACAGTTTTAACCTGCAATTTTAATTTTAGTTTTTAATTGTAGTATACCTGATGATGACCATATATGGCTGAAATGTTGTGTTAATAACATGAACAAATGGAGTGAAATATGACAGTGTGGTAATGACCACAGGGCTGTTGAACATAAACAGAAGTTACATTGAAGACAAACAAACTTAAGTAATGAATCAAGGATGATGATATATAGAATGCATGGGAATGATCTTAAATGTGTACAAAAATTTGTTTAGAAGACATGAATGAAACAGAATATAATATTAGAATGGATCTTCAAGAAATATGGTGGGAGGGTGTGGACTGGATTCATCTAGCTCAGGACAGGGACTAGTGACAAGTAGTTATGAACACAGTAATGATCCTTCAGGTTCTATAAGAGGTGGGAAATTTCTTGAGCAGATGTGACTGTTAGCTTCGGTTCCAAGGAGCTGGTTAATTAGATGAGATGGGTGAGATTTATTGCCCTAGTGGGGAAACCAAAGAAGATATGTAAAAATTTGGATAAACCCCATTGAAGGGAGCATTTAGGAGACCAGAGTATAAATTACAATAAAGTATATATTAGACAAACTGTGTGGAACTAGCTTAGGATAGTGTATACCCAACAGGCTTTTTAACCATATGGCAGATCTTTGGTTTCCATAAAACCATGGTTTGACTGGTTGCATAACTGTGAACCACTTGAGGAAGACTGTACCATGGAGTAAAAAGAAGTAAAGCTATCCCTGTAACAGACCGTGAAGGCCCATAGGGTTGTGAGACGTTGAGGGTTCCACATTATCTATACCAGTGTTCCGCAACCTTTTTCTACTCATGGCACACCATGAAGTATCCATGACTCAACATGGCACACCAAAATGTTATTCCCCTCAAAAACGCATGATATCGGACAATTAATATAAATACGTAAAGTGATCAACTTATTACTATAATATTATTATTTTATTATCATTAAACAGAAATCGACTCTTGCTTTTATTGACAATTAATGAACTGTAATTCACGTAGGATGTAGTAGAAAGTACACTTCTATTACTATTAAAGTAAATACAGTAATTCTACTCATAACTTCAGTGTGATGCTTGTGCCTGTGTAGCTGCACACAGGCGACTGATCCATGGTGGAATCGTTGACAACGCAAGTCTCATTTCTTTATCAGTGGATTTGAGCCGCTCCCTCTTTGATGTCTTAATTTCAGTTAACGTTGAGAAGCCCAGTTCACACAAATATGTAGTTGAAAATGGCAATAACACATTAATTGGTACTTTGATTTTTATTACAACTATTTGTATGTAATAATTTCTGCTCTTATGAAGATACTGAATGGAGGAGGTTTTATGGCAGTATAGAATTGAGGCACCCAGACTATTTGCTATGATGGCAAAGTGTTAATGATCTGTGTTTGTTAGAGGTAAAGTATCGTTGGGTGGATGCTTATTTTCCATTCACTCATCCTTCATGGGAACTAGAAGTGCATCATCAGGGTGAATGGATGGAACTTCTTGGATGTGGAATTATGGAGCAACGAATATTACAAAATGGTGATTATTTCCTTATATATGTTGTAATTAAGCACATTGTTAGAAATGCAAGTGGAGTTCCCTGTCAGTATATTGTTTGTAAACATTAAGGTAAGGATACAGTTATCCCTATGTTTAATTATGCTCCTGGCCATGAAGATGTATGCAGTGGAGAGATAGCTCTACACATTCTTAACCTCATCAGTAGATGGAGGTGAGAGGTCATCATTAAATCCTGGCCATTTTACCTCTACAGAAAGAGTGCCCAGTATTTATTGGACAGAAAGCTGGGTGGCCCAAGAGCTGGTCTGGATGCTGTGGAGAAAACAAAAATCTCTTTCCTCTGCCAAGAACTGAAACCTAATCCCTCAGTTGTCCAGCTTGTAGCATGATCACTATACTGAATGGTATATCTTGGCTCTTACTCATAAACATTAAAGGTGTGCAATTGAAATAAAACTGCATTACTTGTAAAAACAAATTATTACAAGTTATAAATTGAATTAATTTAATTTAATGTGAGAGTGTTCTCATGACAGTGACTGTTCTACCAGACCATCTGACTTTGCAGACCACCCCTAACCCCCTTTGAGCTAACTGAATACTTGTCTAGAATAAAATGGATCTGCTTCTGTACTTGCTTATGTGGTGGGTATTCAGGCATGGTCTTATCTTCCCCATATTACAAATTGGCTTTATTCTAGTGTACTTCACCCTACAGTTTCTCTCGCTGGACTCTTCCTCACATGAATCTGTTTCCAGTTTCTAAATTTACTCTTCCAGAAAATATAACAGTAAGACTTATATAATAAGGTAAAATAATGCCTTAAAATTGTTTGCCAGTTGGACCAGGCAGTTATAAGTCATAGGTATTAATGGGATCTGTGTATTATTTTATGCACCAGGTTTTGTATGAATTTTTTTTTAATTGAGTTTGGTTTCAGCGTCATCTTGTGGATCTATACATCCAGTCCCTCATATGCCTTCTTGGCATAATGCTTGATTACTCGTAGTTAAGCACAGGGACAACTTTACCTTACCTTTTTAGCTTCATCTATTCAGTATTTTTGACATGAAGCATGAATGGATGGAGATGATCTGTTTGTTGTGCATATATTTCATGCACTTAATGCAGTGATTGCATATAAATTTAAGACTTAAATTCTCCTTAATATGTTGTGTACATGCCACTGTGATCATCATTATTTCCTGTATAAGCATGGCTTAAGGGCTGGGAAGAATTTCAGTTTTATGCATGTGTTATTGCAGAAGTTTATGCTGACTACTTTTAGATATGCCAGAGCAATATTATGACCGTAACCTCGGTTTTGTGTTTTGAGAGGTATCATTCTAAGGAATATTATCAGAAAATATTCTAAAATCCCCAACAAGACTGAAGCTTTTATACATAAGTAACAAATAAAAGCAGGTTTTTGCTCAGTTCATGGAGAACAGCATTCTAAATATCTAGGACCTGGTTGCACTTAAACTACAAAACAGGCTAGTACACAATGTGTTAAATGTTTTATAATAGTATGATTATTCCATTGTTTCTCAGTGTATGTATCTGGAATATAAAATACAAGGCTGCCATTTCTACAGTTGTATTAAAAACAGTATGTGTATATTTTACAGCTGGTGCCCAAGATCAGATTGGATGGGCATTTGGTCTGGGTTTGGAACGTCTTGCCATGTGCCTGTATGATATCCCTGATATCAGGCTTTTCTGGAGCACAGACACAGGATTTCTGTCACAGTTTGAAAACAGAGATCCATATGATGACATTAAATACAAGGTAACAAAAGGGACACGCACAGTTCATTTTTCAGTTCTCTTTATGGCAGGCATGATGGAATGCAATGTGTAAGAGCTGTCTGAAAAAATAAAACTGAGTCATGCCTGTGTCTCCAGCTTCTCGTGAACAAATTAACGGGTGTCACCTTCGGATATGCCATCCCTAACATACAGGCCTATGCCTCCTGTCTCCAGCCATACATTTTCTTTCCTGACCTGTCCTATCAGATTTATCCACTACAGAATCTTAGTTCTGTAGTTGTAATGTTTGTTCAAGTACAGAGTGTTCATTATTCAGGCTTATCAGACGTCCAGGGAACTTCCGAGAATTTGCTCTCAGCAGATGCTCTAGCACCGACCGGCAAACAGGCGGTGATTCATGCGCTGATTCAGTCTGTGTTTAGCCTTCAAGTGTTTCAGAAGCTAAGTATAGTGCATTATTCTGTGACTTTATTATGGTTCGTGCGAGATACAGTTTAGAAAAAAGAGTTTTCATTTATGATTGTTATGTGAAAACACACTCATACAAATCATGCAGGAGAAAATTTCGGCTTAAATTTCCCGAAACAACATGTCCATCTGGGGATACAATTTCCAAATTAGTGAAGAAAGTTCGAACCCACGGCATTTTAATTGACAGAAAGCCGTTAAAAAGAAATCGTGTTTTAACTGAGGAAAAACTTGATGACATCGGTCATCGATTAGAAAATTCTCCTCGAAAATCTTTGCGGCGATTAGCACAACAAAGTGGTGTTTCTTTAGGCAGTGCATGGACAGCAACTAAACTGTTGCATATTCGTCCGTATAAATTTACTGTTGTTCATGAAATTAAACCTGTGGATTATGAAAAAAGAGTGAGGTTTTGTAATTGGTTTATCAATCATGTGCATGACGGACTTCTGGATCCTAAGCTGACATTTTTCACAGATGAGGCTAATTTTAATCTCTCGGGATATGTTAACTCACAAAACAACAGGTACTGGAGTAGTGAAAATCCTCATGCGCTAATTCAACTTCCCCTTTACGACCAAAAGATAGGCGTATGGTGTGCGGTTAGCGCACACCGTATCATTGGACCTATATTTTATGAAGGAACTCTTGATGCTCAACGATACATTAATGAAATACTCAACCAATTTTTCGTTAATTTGGCACCTGCAGAAGAAAGATTCGGTTATTTTATGCAAGACGGCGCGACTCCACACACAGCTAAGGAAACTATCCGAGCATTACGCGGTGTGTTTGGGGAATTAAATGGTGACGATAGAATTGTTAGCAAGGGTTTGTGGCCCCCTAGATCCCCAGATCTAAACCCCTGTGATTTTTATTTGTGGGGAAAACTAAAAAATGTTGTGTATGCCAACAATCCACATGACTTGGAGGCTCTAAAACAAAATATTCGGGAAGCAATTGACAACATCCAGCAACGTGAATTGCAACAAGTTTCCCAAAATCTGTTTAAAAGAATTCAGGCATGTCTCACAACAGAGGGCAGACATTTTGAACATCTTCTATGATGGTGAGTACAATATTAATTACTATATTTGATTAATAATTAGCGGAAGAAATAAATAATGTGCGCTAACAGTTCCGGCCGCGCGACAGCAATTTCCTCGGCAGGTGGCGCATCGCTTTCGCATGAAGTTGCCGACGGTAAAATCAGTGTCGAATCAGCCTCGGCTATGAACACTCTGTATTTTAGACCACACTCTCCACTACTGTGCATTCTGTTTGCGGTAATAGACTCTTCAGTAAGTAGTTGCAGAAATTACCAACAATTATTCCACTCACCACTTATGAGCCACTCTTGAGGGCTACTGATATACATAGGTGAGTCAAATGAAAACCGTAAAACTGAGATAAAATTTTGAGATATTGTACCATTGTCCTATAAGTTGGCAGACATGTTACCCTATAACCAGTGCCTCATATTCAGATCTCTTGAAGAATCATCTTCAACCTGCAGTCAGATCAAAGCAACAAGGACTTTTGACTAGAGGTGTCCTTTTGCAACAGTTGCAACAATCCAAGACTTGCACTTTGAGTGTCTTCCACATCCACCATACTCACCAGACCTAGACCCAAGTAATTACCACATGTTAGGGCCACTCAAAGAGGCGATGGGAGCAAACAAGTTCCGTTCTGATGAAGAAGTACAGCAGGCAGTGCATGAGTGGTTGCGCAGACAACCACAAGAATCTTTTTCTAGAGGAATCCATACACTTTGTAAACGCTGGAGGGCCTGTATTGAACGAAATGGAGACTATATAGGAAAGTGATATAGTTGTGTACCGCTTTCATTCAATAAATTAAATTGAAAGAAATTTTTACAGTTTTCGTTTGACTCACCCTTGTACATATTCAAATCCATGCTGTGAATAGTATCATTTATGTTTCTTTTTAATGGTTTCATACCACACATCTCATTCATGTGATTCAGAACGTTCACCAATGCCTATATTGATTTTATTGTTACTAATAAACGGTAAAGGATGAAGTGCCAATCACTGGCCAGAGCTTAATTGTGGCTATTCGTATATAACTCCTATGGTTCCCTCTGTTGCTCTCTTCATCAGAAATGTTATGTGCAATATAACTGAAACAAAACATTTCTTAAGGCAATATCTGATACTGAGAGAAGTCAGAACAAAGTACAGGATAGTTGAATTAGCAGTATTATTATTCTGTAGAGATATGGTGTCCATATTCAGAAATGTAAACATCTTGTCCCAAGCTCATACATAAACTTGGGGCCATGTTGCACCAGCACATGCAGGCTCTGCAGCAAAAGAGAATGTAGAAGTGTGTGACCCATCAATAATGTATAGGTTATAAATCATGGCTTTTAACATGGCCACTCCACAATGTGGTAACTGTTCAGTGTTCTGTAATCTAGTCAGCATTTATTTTGATCGGTTTAATATTGTAGCACGTATAGCCGTTGATGTGCAACAATCACAAGATGGCAGATATACCACGGCCTTTTCTGGGCAATGGCTCATTGAACATGTTCCTGTGAAACAAACGATGGAACAGTGCCTGTTGCTAGGCAGCAGATTCTTAATAATGCAACAGTTGCACTATCAGTGGAAGAGCTGTTTTCTATGTGGTCCATGCCGAGATGTTATTAGCAAGGGACAAGGTCGGTCAGTCCTGTACGAGAGTCTGAGAAGAGAGAACTTAAGCCAGAGGCAATCGAATAGCCATTGTTGGAGCTATTACCAGGAAACGTCTAGTAACAGACAGAGAACACTAGACTGTGTGCTCTGTTGAACTGTGAAGTGTGGAAATAGCAATATTGTTATAGTCATTTGTAGTTACAGCCTGTAAGTGGTCAATAAATCTATTCACCGATCCAAACCCCATCTATAGTCACATACTATGTGAAAGTATAAAGTCTTTCATGCACATTATTTTAACATTGGTTTGTGGAAGTACACCAGCAGCATAGATGTAAGCATAGTCGGCCGCGCCATAGCTCAAGCGGTTAGTCGCTGGCTTCCCACCACGGCGGCCTGGGTTCGATCCGGGTCTGATCAAGTGGGATTTGTTGCGGACAAAGTGGCGCTGGGGCAGGTTTTCTCCAAGTACTTCGGTTTCCCCTGCCAATCTTCATTCCACCAATTGCTCCACAATCACCCTCACCTATCATCTGGGGCTGGTACAATAGGCCGGAAGCCGCCACAGTACAAGGGACTTGGTCCCACCCCACTACCATAAAAAAAAAATTAGCTGGGGAAAAATTCTAGCTTATAATGTTTGTGTGGTCATGCATTATGAGTACCCCCTTCTATATGCTCCAGCTTTCATATGATAATTTCCTCTTCCAGCCAATCAGCATATATCCACAGTGCATCAGTGACATCAGCTTTTGGTTACCAGAAAATGGAGATTATACATCCAATGACTTCTATGATCTTGTACGTGATATAGGAGGAGATACTGTGGAGCAGGTAAGAATTATAGGAGGTTCTGTAATGAGGCAATTGTAAACACCGATCCACTTATGTCATCCACTGACTGCAGTCAAATTACTAGCTGATCTTACATTAAATTATTTAGTTATAACAGGTAGAAATATTAAGACTTTTCTATTCACCATTGTTAGGGCTCAACATAAACATTTGTCTGCTGATGTATGATTGGAACACACAGAAGATACTGACTGTATGCTGTATGTGTCTGTTATGACCCAAGGTTATGTACAAGTAGATATATTTTTTTGGGTAATGTGGAATAAGGGTATTTAGACTTTAAGATTAAGAAATAGAAATAATGAAATGTACCAGGAAGCAGGAGTTTGCACAGAAGTATAACGCCAGTGGTGAGGCAATCGCTTTGTATTCAGAATGTTAGCACGACAGCGTAATAACGCTGACATTGAGGAAGAAGCTATATGAAGTGGGATATAAAAGAACTATGGCAAGAGGAAAACACTGAGTCAAATAAGGTGGTAGACCTGAAAGAGTCAACTCCCTTTCGATAAACAGCCAATGAGTGGGCCACACCGACCCAAAATCACGTCAGAATGGGCGGGCCAATACACCCTGGAACCCAGCGAGTCAGCAAAAAGAGGGTACATAAACTTGAGAGGAATCAATCAAAAGACTTTTTTTTTTAATATTATTAATTGTCAGAGAGTCAGCCATAAGCTATCACCAAGAAGGTGATGGCGAGGGGTAGTGGTTGGTGTGTAGTGATGGTGGCCTGTTTCGTCAGCTCAAGTAAGTGAACGTACTTCATATAAGCCATGAACATTAAGTGTGATAATATTAAAGTGCAAACCCCAGGGAGAGAAAGTGAAGACTTGATGGACTAGGTTTACTGAGGGAGATAGATAGAGAGGTATTAGGTACCCAACAGCAGGGTGACAGGAGTAGGAGTAATGTGTGTGCTACAGGATAATAACCCAAATGTAATGCGAACCGACAAACGTTGGCAAAGTGTATATATATTAGCGACATAGGTGAATAGAGTAGGATAGAAATGCGCTGTGATGTTAACTGAACTTAGCCTCCCCTCAAGTGTTACCCTCCTCCTTGAATGCTCCTGCATCTCCCGAATCCTGTAGGAGAATTGCAAACTCATGCCAAGGCGGCAGCCACGTCAGTGATTGTAAATTTACTTGAACCCCCCCCCAACGGCCTAACAAGATGGTGACAGCGGTGAGACAACCAATCCACCCGTCGCAGAAGAATAATAATAAGTGGTGGCAAGGAGGGTTACCTCGATGCCCCATCACCACGACATAATAGTGTCTATGTATTGTCAGTCATCATGATCTGGATCGTGTTTCAATTCCGCCCTAGTCTTGACCTGTTCACCTTTTCACAGGTCTTCATTCAGGGATTTGGTAGACACATTCTTTCAGACGTTTCTTCTGATTTTCTCTACATTCAGTTACTTAATTGAGTTAAACATGTTTATTTAATATTTTCGCATGCCAGGAATCCGGAAATCCATGGAAATGCAATGACAGTGGCCTGTTGCCTAGGAATACCTTAAGCAACAAATGCATTTACCCGGAGATGAAACGACAACTGATGGTGCGTTTGGCTTTGACTATAGCAGAAGCAGTAATTGTGATACTGAAAGTGACGATAATTTTACTCACTAGTGTAAAAGTGAGCATTCGATAAACATATTTGACAAATCCGAGACCTGCGTGAATTTAATTGTTGTGTTACATAGGCAACATGCAACTTGCTGTTGGTTGTTTAGTGCATATGAAGGTAATATATTTCTCCTGTCTGCATTCTCATTTCTTAGTTTCTTTGGTTTACCTCTGGTGGCAAAAATGATGACAGGATTACTACTGATTTACATTATGCCATTTCCTCACCATAATCCAGTCACCTCTGTTAAATGTACAGATGGGATAAATTGGATTGCTAAAACATAAACCTATGTGAAACCGATACAGACAGATGATAGGGAAGTGGGTAATTAGTTTTGCTGTAGACTGTATAGAAAAACAAATATAATAAAGTAAAAATTTGTCCAATGCAAGGGTTAGGTTCTTTGAGAAAAGTACTGTCTCATGTTGGGTGTATAACGCGACAAATAACTTCACGCCATATTTGATATACCAAATTTTATCTCACACTCGCTCTTACAATCACACCATTTACAAGCTCAACATTACTGCCATCGGCAGTATCACAAATACTAGACTGCATACTCTTCCCTGGCCAACTCATAACTCCCTGTGAATAGTGTTCGCTGCTCCTTATTTAGCCTCGGCACAGACAAGACAGAAAACAGTTATGTGATAGGTACCGCTGTTGTCTGACGCCATGTTTGCCGATAGCCTAGCAACGCTGTCGGGAGTTGTTTACTGCTCCATAGCAACTGCGACATCCGTTGGTCACGTAACCACGGGAGTGGGCGGGGTGTTGACTGGCCTATTACTGTAGCAACGGCAACGCTCCAAAGGTGTTATGTCACCGCTAGCTGGGGAGGGGATGTCCTGCATAGCACAAATATGTCACAGTATATTAAGTCCCTGCTGGAGAGACTTAACCTTTATCCTACGGCCCTTTAAACTTAGGCTGTGGCAGCGGTACGGAATTATTTAAAGGGCCGCTCTTAGAAATCCGTAAAAGCTGTAAGTTACTTACTAATTTTGCTCCTATTTCTGCTATTTCTGTGATAATCGAACGAAATAAACGCTGTTTTTTTCTCGAAAGAATATAGAATCAGATATTGTAATTTACAGATTGTATAAAACATGTTAAAATTTTTGCACTGACTCCAAAAAGAAATTTGCCAATTTTTTTCCTTCTCTGCGAGAATTCATACGTTTTGGACACCCCTGAATGCCATTCGCTTGATGACGACACTTAGTGCAAGTAATGGTAACAGAGCGGATGTTGTGTCTAGAGACGTTATCGCAGTCTATGTGACGAACTACAACTGGAATGTGGTCAGTGGAAGAGAGATATAAACTCACGTGTTGTTTATAAATCTCTCCTGAACAATACGTATACTGTTCTTCTACAGTTCAATGCTAGCATTCTTTATGCATGCGTTGCCGTTGCCGTACTAACACAGCGTAATAGCTTAGTGGCTGGACGTGTTCAGTCGAGAGTAATTTCAAATTTCGTTCGTAACATGTGGTCCGTGTCGTTTGGGATATTCTGACATATTGCAGCTAATCAATGCCTCCGATACAGAATCCTGTACCGACAATTCTGAGAGTGACGTTGAAGGTAGCAAATCATAAAGTGATTTCGAAGAAGACCCATAATCTTCGTCGGCAACCTGGGGAGCACGACACCAGCGTGGCACGAGGAGTGTGAATAATTATTCAGATGGAGCTGTGGGCAAACTGTGGCAAACAGTTATAGCATCTGTCGTCGAACCTGGAAATGGACAAATAAGCTATTTCTCCATCTCCTTGGTCTGAACAGTTACATCCTGTTGTCACACAGAGAATTTCGTCTCGCTCTTGTGCGGAACATGCTGTTAGGGGTCCCCCTCGCCATCAACGGCCAGGGGTCGAACCCCTGCCGTTTTATGGGAGATATCTCGACTATAGAAGGCCAAACCACATCACTGGCCGACTTGCTATACTTCGCAATTGAGGTGTCGTGTGTGCTTTTCGCGTGGGACACGAAAGACCGCCCGGACAAAGTGCGTGAATTGCGAAATCGGACTCTGCATTTCCGGATTTTTTGAGAATTCCACACGAAGGCAACATTCCGGCAGATGATGCAGGCGGGAAGACAGACACTCCATGCAGATGGTGGCCAAAAATTATATAAGTAGGACATTATTTCCTACCTTAAAAATGTATTTCAAATAACGTCCGCACGCGTGGACTTTGCGACACCACATGGCGTCATTCGTACCGCTGCCTTTATATCTGCGACGACATACGGTGTCTTTTGTCGTTTAAAGGTTAATACTGTCATATGTTAGGGTGATTTGTCAGTGGGGTTTTGGATTTATTGACCTCTTTAACACACAACTTGTAACTACACGTAATTATAGCATCATTGCTGATCTCCACAAATCACTAGAATACACAGACTAGTGTTCCCAGTCTGTTACAGTCTCCACTAGTCATTTCCTGGTAATACTTTCTAACAATGGAGATTCAGCTGCACTGACTAAGTCTTCTCTTGAGATTTCCTTACAACTCTCTCAGTGCTTCACCTGACTAAATCCTAGGCTGGCGGCCATCTCACACCAAGTGCCTAGTATTCTATTCACAGACTGACTTTCAGCTTATTGTAGCTTTGCTGGTACTCTTGTTATACAGGGTTATTCAAAAAGAATGAACCGATTTCATGACGCATTGCTTCAGTTCTCAAGCATCGTCATGGAATGAGTCAGTGACCATTTGAAAGAGGAGTTATCTAAGTTGTGAATGGCTGCCACAGGGGCGCTGAAGTGGCGTCATTCTTCTGGCAACGTTCAGTTGTTCGTTTACCCTTGGAATGGTGAGTCCTCAGCAAAAGGTGTTCTGTGTTCTTGAGTTCACGAAAACAGATTTGATTGTCACAGTGCAGCGTGCTTTTCAAAGGTGTTCGGCATTAATCCGCCCTGTCCTAAGAACATTTGACTGTGGTTTTGACAGTTTCAGGATAGTCTATGTAAAGGAAAAAGTCCAGGACGACCATGAGTCTCGGAGGAACAGGTGGCGAGAATCCGTGCTGTGTTTGAGAGGAGCCTGCGGAAGTCAACAAATTGAGCTAGCCGTGAGCTTGCGATCCCTCAATCCACTGTCTGGCGTGTGCTAACAGTACGTCTACATTTGAAACCATACAGACTGCAGCTCGTTCAGGCACTTACCAATGACGACAAAAGGAAGCGGATGGAATTTTGCTATTCTATGCTGGAGATGATAGAAGACGAAACCTTCATTTCACGTTTAATTTTTAGTGATGAAGCGACTTTTCACTTGAGTGGCACAGTCAGTCGTCACAGTGTGCGTATTTGGGGAACAGATCACCCACATGAAACAGTTGAGCATGAAAGATTCCCCTAAGGTGAATGTCTTCTGTGCTGTGTCTCAGGACAAGGTTTATGGTCCCTTTTTCTTTGAAGGAAACACCGTTATAGGACAAACCTATCTCGATATGCTCCAAAACTGGCTCTTCACTTCACTGCAAGCAGATTCGCATGATTTCATTTTTCAACAAGATGGAGCACCGCCCCCACCTGATGGTCCGAGCTTTTTTAAATAAAAAACCGCCCCAGCGATGGATTGGTTGGAAGGGGGCCAAAGACCTTGCTCTTTGTGCTTGGCCTGCGAGATCCCCATACCTCACTGTGTGTGATTTCTTCTTGTGGGGATATGTAAAAGATCACATTTATGTTCCACCGCTACCCACTAACCTCGAAGACCTTAAACATCGAATAACAACAGCGATTAACTCAGTGCATCCTGATATGCTGATACGTGCCTGGGATGAATTCTCTTATCGCATTGTTGTCTGTGCTGCAGGTGGTGGCCACATTGAACACTTGTAAGACAGGAAATAAAAGTTGATTGTGAGTAGAATACTTGTGACTTGGCTGGAGTTTTGTATTACTCCTTTAATAAAATACTGCGTAATAAAATCGGTTCATTCTTTTTGAATAACCCTGTATAACCCCTTTGCACAGGCCAAGCACAAAACACCATTTCCAACAGTTCCTCAACTGTTGCTTGTTCCATAGTTGTTGCCTAGAAATGGGTCTATATACCACAATACAGCATGGGTGAAGTGGTGTCAGGAGGCCACACATTATTACCCAGATATAGAGATTTTTTATGTACACACAAGTGTACAAGTGCACTGTATACAAAATATGAACATGTACGTTTAAGATTTTCATGGTAGCGACTGTTAAATTTGGTCTTCTGGTTTGTGACACCATGTAATTTTGTGAGCAGATTTCAGGTGTCTTTTCCTTATCCCTTATCCTTGTGTTTCATGATCACCACCCTCATAACTTCCCTACATAAACATGCCTATTTCCAAACCCAAACTTCTGCTTTTGAAGATGGAGGCAGCATGTTCCTCTGAAATGTCTACAGTCACCTTCAAACTGTAGGGTGTCACAGACAAGAAAACCACAACTTTAAATAAAACATAAAAAAACCATGAACATAATGAATTTACATATACATAAAAATACTGTATCGTAAATGTTATGTCTGTAAATTATGAACCAATGAATTATAATTCAGTAGGAAATAGAGGGCTTAATTATCTGAGACAAAAGTATTGGCAAAGTGAGCTACAGGATTCTACTAAGAAGAACAAATCAAATTCAAGAAGAGCATGTTTGGCAAACTGCATAAATTTGAGTTTTAATAGTAGTAGTTTCTGAATGTATTGATAATGTCCTTCTGAAGATGGTCAGTCTAACTGAAGCACATAAAGAATGAAAGATTAAAAAACAACATTTATCAGTCACACTGGATGGCATTAATAATCTTTTATACTATTAATATTAAAAATATTGAAGACAAATATTACATAAATGCAACAAATTTTACAGCCCTTAAGTAAGTTTTTAATGAAAACAATACAAAAAATTACATAGTAATTAGATATCAAACATTAATAATATTAAATATCTTGAATTGACTTTTTAAGGCACAAAACTCAAACATTACATATCTGTATTATTTCTGTACCCAGGTTCACTGTTGGATTAATACCTGTTAAATCTGTTTAATTTTTGATTGCATGAGGGATGGAGGTTATTGTTTACTGCCAGCTGTGCTAAGATGAGCAGATGTACCAAAACTATGGTGGTGGGTGATAGCTAAACTGAAAATACTATTTAATGAATTATTTCAGAGCATTGCTCCCCTCACTGCACTACATTACAATTAAACAGAGCTCTAGATTTCAGTACAAATCTGTTATCATCTGTATTCATGTGATACACAATAACAAATTTATTAATTATCCCTTGTAGTTTTAGCCTTGTAAGAGAAGTTAGTCATGAGGCAGTGTAGCATCATTAAAGACAATATGTATATATTCATAAAAATGTGCAATAAAAGAACATACCACGGTGACACAAATACTGCACACGTACCCCCCCCCCCATAGGGTTTTTCAGCTGCACTGGCAAACTTGTTGCTGTTAAAAGGTCATATCTGACTGTATATTTTGATCTTTGAGGCTAAAACCGAGCCTGAGTACCAGCAAATATATCTTTATGAAAATTGCCATATATGTATATACACACAATGACATTTTCTTGGGGGGACCCAGAAGTTATTTATGTTGGATCCAGTATTGATACTTTAAGGCATCTGTAATGACTTTTGCTGCCTCTTTAGATTCATTGGCAAGAATATACAGAAATTTTATTAACAAGGGAAAGAGGCTAATGAAAATTTACATACAAAGCATTCAGGATGGCTATAATGCCCATGAACTGAATTCCATGTTCCTGCACTCTCATATTCTAGACATTTAATACAGGATGAAATATGAAGGCACAGATATAAATGTACAGCAGTACTGATCAGTAGACCACCATGACAAAGCATGTAAGTTAGCTGATAATTAATTTATGACTGTTCAGTTTCTGAACATTTTCAATAATTCAGAAATTATTTTCTCATTCTCTGGGACTTCAGAAAATTAGACACAAGTATATTTGGGGTTGGTGTGAAAGGGGTAATTCACAAAATCACCGATTCTGCCTTCCATTCCGCTGATATACTGTCTGACCTTTTTCCTGCTTGAAATAGAGATGTAAAAGTAACTAAGAATTCAATAATTTTGCCTCATTACAGAACTTTTTCATGAGTTAAAAATGTTGTCCAACACAATGCTTGACTTTTTAGTTATTGTCCACCATCCTGTTTTTATTTACAACATATGGACTGGACTGTGTCTCCAAGTTATTAGCTCAATATGCATGTAAGACAGCCACAAAATATGTTGGTGAGAAGCATATGCTTTCCATGACTGAACAGAACACCACCCACAGGAAATACAAGGCATAGGCTCATCCAGTTTAGGTTATGTAGGAATGTTCCATTTTTATTGGTATTATGGAGGTGTGATTTATTTGCTGTTAGGTCCTCATTGGTATGCAGGAAAATTGAACTGCTTGGATTTTAAACCCCTGTACTTGTTAGGTCTATATTTATATCCTTCTTCATTTTATCTATGATTTTAATGGTTAGAAGATGTCTCATTATTTCTTTTATAGCATTTGTAACTGTCCTTAGAGCAGATGGTTTATGTTTTGTTTATATATCCTGCCTTGTGGTGGTTCTGGTGGCCAGAGATAAGGGCTGGCAGTCCTATTGTTTGGGCCAAACTGAATAGGTTTCTTTACTTAAGAATGGAGCCAGAGTCCAGTCTTTGAGACTTAAATAAAACAGGATATACCACTATACAAAACTTTTAGATGTCTGATGTCCAACAGCTGAACTATTATGGTTTTTATTCCGTGACTCCATTCAAGTAATTAACACCACCCACATGAACATGTTATAACCATCAAAGTATGCCAGCAGTTTAAATAAGATTGCACCATTCATGATTTCAGATATCTTTGGTTGACATATTTACTCATCCAAAGAAACAACAAACTAGTCACTGTTACCGTATTGTGTACCGCCACATGGAGAAGACTCTAACACAGGAAGAAGTGAATGTGATTCACAAACAGATTGAGAAAGCAGCAGCTCTTAAACTCAACATTAGTATCAGGTGATTCCAATGGTGGTATGTAAATCTGTAATGAGAATATTAATAATAAATAACTTATATAATTGAAAGATAATAGTTATCATTAGTTTAAGAATCATCACGAGAGACCTGGAAAATACTACTACTAATACCAGATGATACTGTATTAGATATGAAACGTAAGTAAAATATCTATGTGCATGCGTCAACAGGGGAATGTCTTCCGACTTGCCTAATTTGTGAAGGTTTCTGGAAACGATATCACCCCAGGTTCCCTTTGAAATGAATAAACTACTGCTTCTGTGTCATTTATTTACACATTATCACTTTTTGTGTGTTAGACAAGATGAACAGTGATGCCATTATATAATCTGCTTCATAAAATGAATGCATTTTGAGGATTTCAGTTTTCAAAACATTTCCAAATCTGAGTCCATCATATTTACATGAATAGGCATTATTTTTGTTAATTTATTAAATGAACTTCATGACAAAAGAATTATATATACAATATTTCCTTGTAATAGGAAGTGAATCAGGAATGAAATATATGTAGTATTCTGTTACCAGACCCATAACACTATAAAACAATGACATAGGGCTTGCACCTTATTTAGTATCAATACATATGATTATAATAAGATGTGATAATTTCATGGCAAGCACAGATATTTTAAATTATGTGCATTACATTTGCTTTAATGTCAGGATGTTAAATCCATTTTGTTTTCTTTTGAGTGGCAGTATCTGTTGCCAATTAAATGTGTTCACTCATAACCAGTTAATAACAAATACAATAAACTGCAAGTCAGAAACGTGATCCAGTTACCACCAGTTGAAAACCTGTTACTGACTGGGCAGTGATTTTGCCGCTCAAGTCACAGATATACGTTTCTGTCTTACAACCAGTAAAAACTGAACCTAGGCCCTAGACTGCGGAAATGAATCTTCTTGAAGACTTGTTTTGTTTGGAACAGATACAGAAGCTGGATATCCTGTTCACAATAAAACTTTCCACAGGATGTAATAGCAGTTAATATAATCATATAACTGAAGTACAGTGGAACCTCACTTAACGAGCATAATTCGTTCCAGGATCTTACTCGTAATGCATTCCATGCCAAAAAAAAATACTAAAAAAATTGTATGTATAACGTTTATTCAAAGAAAATTATATATACATTCTTAAGGAGCATGAATCATCATCATTTCTTCTATGCAGAATGAACCAACCTGTAATGCGAATTTAATTTGCAGAAAAAAATCGAAATAATTAGTTTATTATTTATGTTACATATCTCTTTTTTACTAGAAAGCTGTCTAGTGACATTTGTTTTTGCTGACGCTTCAAAATTTGGCGAATTGCAATTGCTTTTCGTTTATCCATATGAGGAGCAACCTTTCAACATTGTCGAGAATACGTAACCGTTGCATAGATATTCTTGTCACTACCTTTGAAGCATCTATTTCCTTAATCTTGTCCTTGTTCGTGAGGATAGTAGAAATCGTTGATGTAGACTGATTGTATGTGCGTGCTACATCAGCCACGCTCACACCTCGTTCTCACTTTTCAGTGATTTTACTTTTCATTTCTACGCTTATTTTTATTCTCTTATGGCTGTCTTTTTGCGGCTTTTTCTTCGGGGATATTTTTGCAAGGGTTATTAAACTTTGCACAAAAAATAAATAAATAAATAAAAAAAAATAATATGTCTGAACACAAGCGACACTAAGATGCTAAAGACAGACTGATGTAGCAAGCGCACAATCCAGGACTTCCCCTCTCGTCACTTGTTAAGCGAGGTTCTACTGTATATGGGAAATTTCATAACTTCCAAGTTCTTGAAAAATATTTATGTATATTTGCTTATGTGTCACCTGTACTTTGTACACAGTGATAGTGAATAATACAATAGTTCCTGCTCTTTATAGAAAATGTACAAATAACTAACAATTTTCCTGGATGTTTTTCTAAGTTTCTTCCTTGTGTTATGTTCATGAAAGTTTTGAATAACTTGGTGGTGAGAATTTCTTTCTTAGAAACTTCAGGATATAAAGTGGCAGGCAGCTGACTAGAGTTATCACAACAACTTTCCACAGAAAATTTGTTGTTTGAATAAATTCAGCATCTGAAAAAAAGAGAAGTGTCATTAGTTTTCATTCACCACTACATTCATCCAGTACGAATAATTTTATAAACATTCCATGATGTTTTACAGTGCCACCACTGCACCTGGCTAATTGTAATGCCTTTACAAACATTCAGCCACGACATTTTACAATGAAAGATTGTTAGCACTCTGCCCAATGCCCAAAATGGAGAACCATTTTCTCTTTGGCTACCCACAAAAGCTTAACTAACTTCATGGAGCAGAGAGTTTCTTGAGAAGCCAGCTGTTGCTCAGCTAGTGAAGAAACTTCCTGCTTTTTATGGATCTCAGAGGTTCATTACTGCGTTCACAAGAGCCCATTAATGGTTCCACCCTTCTTCGGGTAATGAGTTCAGTCTTATGCCATCACACATTTTAATATCAATTTTAGTATATTACCTTCCTATCTATACTTGGTCTGCCAAGTGTTCTCTGCCTTACAGGTTATCCCACCATGATTTTGTACTTATTTCCCATACATTCAACATACTTCTCCAATATCATTCTCCTTCAATAAGTGCTTGGATCAAAAATTATAATGCTCTTGTATGGGATTAGAGGTCTTAATGCTACTGAAGATTCATACTGTGTTCTTTTGGGTAGTGTGGTAGGTGATTACCAGCGTTTTGGAGGAATATACTGCTTTCATCTACCCTAAAGACAGAAACACAGTATTCCTCTCAAATGCTGGTAGCCACCTAGTAGACTACAAGGTGTTGTAACTCAGAAGACAATAAAAAAAAAAAATACTCTTCACTGTGCAATTTTCTTCAGCCTCCTGAGTCATCTTCCTTAGGCCCATTTATTCTCAGCAGCTTGTTCTCACACACCCTCACATATATACAAAATATGAGGACCTACAAAGGGTTAATATATTTGCAGTTACCCTCTATCTAAACCAGTACCTTCATCTGCCCAAGGAAACACCATGATGTGGTAATAAGGTATCCATAAAAACAAAAAACACCTTTGCAAGAAAGTTTTGACTCTCACCAAAGTAGTCCTTCAGGACGATAAGTGAAAGGATGTAAAGGCCAAAGCTCAGTAGTTCAGCTAATGCCATGATGTAGTGCCATGTTCGAATTGTGAGTGCTACCATTATTAGCTCTGTCAAGACTAGAGATGTGAAGCTGATGGCCACAATGTGAATGAATTCATCTTCAAACATTACCAGTGCTCCATACATGATGACACCACCTGCAACAGTGAATGGGCATATACACTAAAAATGAATTCAGAACTATCTTTTAACAAACTTGTAACATCAGTGAAATGAAATAAGTTTTTACTTTGCAATAACATGTTCTAGCACATTATAAAATTTCCAAAAGATCAGAATAATTCACAAAACACGTAGAGATTTGCAGGTTAAAATTTAATACTTTTCATAATGTTCCACATACCTTGATAAATGCTGATAAGGACCCACATGAAAAATGTCTTGAATGAGAGAGAGCGTCCTTTGCTTAACTCCTTGTAGAGTTCAGGGTAGGTAAGGGCAATTTTACCTGACACATCCTTGTCAAGAACAAGCGAGAATACTGGAAACATTGTATAGAGGGTTGCATACCTAACGAACATAATAAGTATGTATTAGTAACTGTTTCCACTAAGACATCACAATGATGGTCTGTGGATTTTCATAAACATGAAAAACAATGTTACCATTTTAATGTATACTGTGTCAACAAATCAAACAGTTGCCCTATTTTTTTGTTTCTGTACAGTTTCTTCTAAATCTTGTTTTTTTTCCTCCCCCTATTTTACAGGGATGGTATTTCTGGAAAGTATTATCTTATTTAAGATATCAGCCTACCATACAAAACACATGATAAACGAAGTCTGCACTAGTTGTGAGTAGTTCTGTCTTCTGGGATATAACAACATGCAGTCTGTTGAAACTCAACCAACATTTTCGAGGAACATGTCACCACCATCTTCAGAGTAAAAAAATAAGCCAAGCAAGAAACCAGCATGAAGCAGTTAGCAAACAGGGTCCTGGCCTACTGGCTCCTTGTGTGACATGTTCCTCCAAAATGTCAGCTTTCAACCAACTACATGGCATTGCGTCCCAGAAGACAGAACTCTGAAATCACTGCTGTGACAACCTCAAATCTCACAAGTGAAGGAACAGCTCACAGTCCGTCTGAAAAGGGACTGGCGAAAAAATTACAAAACAGAAGGCAGCTTTGTTCTTTGTGTGTTATATATAGCAGATCATAATCTGAAAATGGGCTACATCGTCCCTACAGAAGAGAATACAAACCAAGATATAGAAGAAATTGTACAACTTAACAAAAAATAGGATAACATATCCCAGTAGAATTTTTTTTTAACTTAGAATTAGTGCACCTCTGGAAATGTCCACTGTCTATAATTCATACCAAACACACTGTTCTTAGAACTGGATTTTTTTCTGTCCTCAGGTGAAAGGGTGGGGAGGGAGGTCTCTATATCAGTTGGGTCTATTGGAAGGCTAATCCCAACCTGGACTGAAATACAAAATTATCAGAACCATTTATAATTGATTTCTTAAATATTATTTTCAAGTTTTATCCTTATTTTCTGCACATTGCACAGCATTAGTTACACTCCCTTATAAAATGTCTTCAGGGAGCAATGAATATGAAAAGGAAACTGAGGAAAATCTTAAATGGAGGACATTTAACATTCAGTTTATTGACCTGATGAGTAAATTGAACACTAAATAGGGAGAGCCTTACAAAAAAAAAAGTTCATTAAACGGCTGTTGTACTGTACAAGATTAAAACTGAAGATGCTGTGTTTGTAACAATATTCACATGGAAAACAAGAAAATGTGACATGCTGGACATACTGGAAATCTCTGCTTTCTGACAAAACAGTGTGTGATACTGATAATGATGATGGGCTCAGTGGTAGTGAATGTAATCATGACACAGGTGGCAACAGAAACAAAGAAAACTAATACTGACACCAGTGCAAGTGAATAAATTACAACATATATAAATCTTGAACATTTTCCCTGTACATTACAGAATAATAGTCCAGAGGCCATACTCCCCCTTACTCTTTTTACATTAAAATATGAGTGATATTCAGAAAGTAAACCTACAAGTCCAGTAAAAATGCAAGGATCCCCCCCCCCAAAGAAATGGCAGTGCTGCTGTGAGAGACAGGAACCACCACATGACAGGGATAAGTTCACTGGCCATAGTCACAGCAACTTTATGCTCGCATTATGTGTTTCAAATGGCTGTGTCGATTCAAAATCCCACCAAATGTGTGGTTCATGCAGTAATTCGATTTCTTCATGTGAAAGGGGAAACTGCTGCTGAAATTCGCCTATTTGTTTCTGTTTACAGTGAAGATGTTATGAACAGGCAAAATGTGGAAAAATGGTGTCATGAATTTGAAGTGGGAAGAAGTGAGGTTCATGATGAAATAAGGAGTGGAAGGCCATCCATTATCATGATGAAATCATTAAAAAAATAACTGATGAACATTCATGCTGACAGATATTTAACCATCAATGAACTTTATCAATAATGTCCTGAAGTGTCTAGAACTGTTCTAAGAAAGCAGGCGGGAGATTCATACGATGCTGGAATAAAAAAACTCATTCCCAGGCTCACTAAGTTCATTGTGATCCAAGGTGACTATGCTGAAAAGTAAATAAAGGTGTGTTGTAAAATTGCTACAAGTGAATCCCTCCAAAAAATGCTTTACAAATATTTTCTGGACTTTGTATCTTTAGTTACCGGATATCATGTGTAGTTTAGTTGTGCTGTGTACTATGTTATTTAATTTTCATCAAGGGTTGTACCCGCATGCACACATGAACACCCCCCCCATATTCCTTTCTCTGGCTATTATAATTACAGATGTTGAAGTACATGTATGACTGAATGGTGTCAAGGGTATTTTATGATTAACCCCATTTGCTAGACATATCTGTGTGCAAACAAACTGATGTATATCAATCTGGCTTTTATATATATGTCATAGGTCTATAAATAAAATATGTGTAAATACAGGTGAAACATATACATCAAATTGTTTTTCATTATTATGTTTAAGCGTCCTGTTGCACTCCATACGATAAATGAGTGTATACACCTGATGATGGCTGTTTGAGGCCGAAACATGTAGTGTGAAGGAGAGCAAGATCAAGGACATATAATGTATTGTTTGCACTTGGGACGGAGTTCATATCATTTATTGTTTTTCATTCTTTGCCTTAAAATAATATGGACCTGTAAGGATAGTACTGTGCCAAATAAACTGATTGGAAAAGGATAATTTTAATTAAGTAACTAATGGTGGTTTTAGCCACTTCTCACTGTTCATACCTAATCCTAGCCCTTTTGAGGTTGAAAGTGCTATTGCAAAATTGAAATGGTATAAATCGCCAGGTAGTGATCAAATTCCGGCAGAACTTATTCAAGCAGGAAGCGAAATATTACGTTCTAAGATCCACAATCTCATTACTTCTATTTGGCATAAGGAAAGTTGCCTGATCAGTGGAAGGAGTCTATTATTGTACCAGCTCACAACAAGGGTGATAAAACTGACTGTAGTAATTATTGGGGAATATCATGGCTATCAATTTTATATAAAATTTTGTCCAATATTCTTCTTTCAAGGTTAAGTCCATACATAAATTAAATTATTGGGTATCATCAGTGTGGGTTTCGACGTAACAGATCAACTACAGATCAGATCTTTTGCATTTGTCAGTAATTGGAGAACAAATGGGAGTACGATGAGACGGTACATTAGCTATTCACAGACTTAAAAAAAGCCTACGATTCAGTTGGGAGGGAATTATTGTACAATATTCTAATAAGAGTTTGGGATACCCATGAAACTAGTTAGGTTGATTAAAATGTGTTTCAACGAAACGTATAGTAAAGTCCGTGTAGGTAAACATTTGTCTCATAAATTTGCTATGCTTTATCGCCACTCCTTTTCAACTTTGCCTTAGACTATGCAATTAGGAAGGTCCAAGGAAACCAGGTGTGACTGAAATTAAACGGGACACATCAGCTGTTGGTCTACACCAATGATGTGAATCTACTGGGTGATAATGTAGATACCATAAAGAAAAACACGTGAACTTTAATTGACGCAAGTAAAGACATTGGTCTAGAAGTAAACACAGAGAAAACTAAGTATATGTTACTGTCTCATCACCAAAATGTGGCACAGTTCAGATATTTGGGAACGATAACAGATTGAAACCTGATTCAGGAGGAAATTAAGAGGAGACTGAACTCGGGTAATGCTTGCTACCATTCAGTCCAGAACCTTTTGTCTTCTTGTCTGTTGTCCAAAAATATAAAAATGAGAATATACAAAACTATAATTTTGCCTGTGGTTCTGTATGGGTGTGAAACTTGGTCTCTGACATTAAGGGAGGAACATAGACTGAGGGTGTTTGAGAACAGGGTGTTGAGAATATTTGGACCAAAGAGAGATGAAATCACAGGAGGTTGGAGAAAACTGCATAATGAGGAGCTTCATAACTTGTACTCTTCTCCAAGTATAATTAAAATGATCAAGTCAAGGAGGATGAGGTGGGCAGGTCATGCAGCACGAATGGGGAAGACAAGGAATATGTATAGGATATTGGCAGGAAAGCCAGAAGGAAAGAGACCACATGGAAGACCAAGGCATAGGTGGGTGGACAATATGAGAATGGATCTTAGAAAGATAGGATGGGATGATATGGATTGGAGAAATCTGGCTCAGGATAGGGACCAGTGGAGGGATCTTGTGAACATGGTTATGAATCTTCGGGTTCCATAAAATGCTGGGTAATTCTTGAGTAGCTGCAGAATTGGCAGCTCCTCCAGAAGGGCTCAGCTCCATGAGTAAGTCACTTCAAGGTTAATATAAAGACATAGGGAAGCAATCATACAATGTGTGGAGATAAATGAATAAGCAATACATTTTTTAAACTCCTGTTTTTTTTCAGCACTCAATACTTCTCAGCGTTTAATATCAGTATGAAGGTCTGATGTAGGAACCTTTTGGAAGTATGAAATATAAGTTGGGTAATACAAGTAAATTACTTGCACATCTTGTCTTTCTCAATACATGAAACTCACCCAACCATAAGAAATCCTGGATAAAGTGCAACAGATGAGAAATAAAACACAGATGAAAAGACAGCCTGCATTGTTGAGATGATGAGGCCACGATGAATCACAAACTGACTAAGAGATGCTGATCGTTTGTAACTCCTACGTCCATGGACCAACAGGAGTCTGGCAAGGTGACTGAATTGTGGGACAGAGAAATCTGCAGCTAGTGAGGCCTGAAGACCTTCTCGCCCTGCAATGCCAATACCTGGAAGAAAACCAATGCATGTTTCTCTTCTATTTTTTAATCACATATAGTCCATAACAGAACTCACCCATGGGTGTTCATATGTTTTTTCTTTTGTTGAAAAGTTCATGTAAATTCATGTACCCATTGTTTTTAAAGAAACAGTACCTGGTAAGTCCAACAAGCAGGCAAATGCTATCACAGTGCCTTATACTATTTATTAAATCACATGCATATAAAGTACTCATGTATCTTGACCATTTAAATGTGACAGGAGGCTTCTGTGGACCCAGGTGCAAAGTTATAGCCACAGACCACTTACATTTGACCTACAGTTACATGCAGACAACTCTCATAACTTGTACTCCATACAAGATGGAGTACTTGATTATTTTCCACACAGTGTTTTCATTTCAAGAGACATTTCCCAATAATGACTGGAAGGAGGGGTTTCACTGAGTAGCTACCACTGGTTCTGAAACTGATGATTTCTTCCTGTGAGATAATTAAGGATAAAGTGTATATAAAGAAGCAAATGAATACGACTCAGCTCTAAGAATACAATGAGGTGTTCTGTGATCCTAATGAAGATGCAAATATTTGTAAGATTTCAACTATGTGTAAATGCTAAGGTCACAATTTTGATAAAATAATGAAATAATTTATTTTTATATTAAGATTATTATTCCAGTTTTGTTATTACTAGAGACTTCAGTGATTTAGTATTGTGACGTATTTGTGCTATGCAGGACACCCCCTCCCTCGCCAGCGGTGACGTAACACCTTCGGAGTGTTGCTGTTGCTACGGTAATAGGCCAGTCGACACCCCGCTCCCCTCTTCAAGGTCAAATTCTTGATCATTACTTTCTTCGGAAGTTCCTTATGTTGACATAAAAGCACTTGAAGTGTTGTGTGCAGCTGCTGACGTTCTTCCTTCTGTTCTTCCCGCCACTTGCTGGTACGAGACTGTGGCACAACAGTGCTCACTGCTGATTTCTCTATGCTGCTACGGGCACCCCGCAGTGATTGAGACTCGTCATAAGGCTGCTTGCAGAGACGGTGTAGACAACTGTCGATGGCCAATTCCTTTCTCCGGCATCCCAAGGTTCCCTGGGTAGTTTCCTTCTTGAAGGCATTTCTCCAACGTCATCCCACTTCTGACACCAAATTGTCACGTGTTGGGTGTATAACGTGACAAATAACTTCACGCCGTATTTGATATAGCGCATTTATTCCACTCACTCTTACAGTCACACAGTTTACAATCTCAACATTACTGCCATTTGCAGTATCACAAATACTCCGGTGGAAGATAGACAGCTATTGACTGGTTAAATGACTCCCTGGCTAACTTGTAACTAACTGTGAATAGTGTTCGCTGCTGCTTATTTAGCCTCAGCACGGACAAGACAGAAAACAGTTATGTGATAGGTACCGCTGTTGTCTGACGCTGTCTTTGCCGATGGCCTAGCAACGCTGTCGGGAGTTGTTTACTGCTGCATAGCAACTGTGGCAATGGTTGCCTGGTGCCGCCACTCCTCTGCCACATCACCGCGGGGAAAGGGGTGTCTACCGAGCGTTGCACACTGATGGATGGAGTGGGGGTATGTGACTTCACTCGCGAGATCACAGAGTTCACGCGACCCCCACCTCCTGCTACCCCATCCACATCACACTATATTCTTCCAACAGTACAGTGACTTGTGTCTCCCTGTACAAACACAGTAAGATTGACAAACATACACAGTGTGTCCAGCATCTGTTAGGACTAATTTTTTTACATTTTGCCCTGCAATGCCATCTACTGGCGAGTTGTGGCATTAAGATTCTTGAAGTTTCAGCTGTGGCTGTCTATAATTTCAAAGCGCAAGCATCTCTGCATCATGTGTTCTGACCTTCAATGTAACAGTACTGTTCTGACGCTCGTCGGAAAATGGCAGTTGAACAGAGAGCCAAGATAAAATTTTATTTGAAGTTAGGTAAAACAGCCAGAGAAGCATACAAAATGATGAAAAGTGTGTACGGTAGTGATTGTTTTGGTCGCTCAAACATTTTTCGATGGTATGCTGTATTTCGTGACGGCAGGGAGGACATTGGAGACGCTCCACGTACATCAAAGCCGACAACAAGTCGCAGTGAAGAAAATGTGAAAAAAGTGACCGAAATCCTTGCATCAGACAGATGTGTTTCTGTAAGACTCATCAAGGAGCTTTTGGGAATACCAAAAAGTACTGTGCATCAAATTTTGACCAAGGATTTGGGAAAATGGAAGATCTGTGCGTGGTTTGTACTGCACATGCTGTCGGGTGATGAAAAACATGCCAAAGTGGAACACTGCAAAGACATGTTACAGTTGGCCCAAATTGGTACAAAATTTACAAAATCAAGCGTTACTGGTGACGAGACATGGTGTTTTCAATATGAGCCTCTCATAAAGTGGCAGAGTGCAGCATGGTTGAGCCCAAAGAAACCAAAACTAGAGAAAGTGCGCATGTAAAAGAATCAAGTAAAGACATTGCTAACCGTTTTCTTTGACTCCAAAGGAATTATTCACAAGGAATTTCTGCCAGGTCAAACAGTGAATTCTGATTATTATCTTGGAGTCCTCAATCGTTTATGGGCGAGAATTCTTCGAATTCAACCTGAATATCGAGAGCAAGGTTCCTGGTCGCTCCTCCACAATGCCCCACCCCACAAATCGAAGATCATCCACGATTTTTTGGCCAGAAAAGGGATCATAGTCCTTGATCATCATCTGTATTCACCAGATTTGGCTCCCGCTGATTTCTGGTTGTCCCCAAAAGTTAAGGTGGCGATGAAAGGAGACCATCATGAGACCATCCAGGACACCCAAAGGGAATGTACCGCAGTTTTAAATGTGATTCCACAAAAGGAGTACAGTGACTGTTTTCAAAAACTTTTCAATCGATTCCAGCTATGTATTGATTCAGAAGGAGACTATTTTGAATAAAAAGAATGAAATTTTGAAAATAACTCATGTCCTGCATTTTTAATGAACACAGTCCTAACAGAACCTGGACACCTTCTGTATTTGTAATTTGAGATCTGAGTTTCAAGGCAATGAAAATTTATATTACGCTCTTCTGGTTTAATCCTTTCCAGTCGTATGTCGATTATAATCAACATGGTGACATGGAATTGAGCTGTGTCGATTGATCTGCGTTTGAATTGAAATATTTCGTTAGTATTTTTATTTTTTTGTTTCTTCTTTGTTTTCCAGGCCATGTTCTTTCCTTTTTTAATGTTTTGCAATGTTATATGTCTTTGTTATAACCTTCTTCTGCTCCTCCTCCTTCTTCAGTGCAATCGATCTGCTTTAGTTCATCCAAATAATGCCTCGCAGAAGATCAAACTTAGGTCGCCGTACTGGCGGAGCAGAAGCAGTGCGACGAGTAACTGCAAATCAAACTGGGGAAGAACGGGCAGACTGAGCCACATCAATGCGTGGCCGGGTACAGCTAGTTATAAATATGGGTCCAATCCCATTACCTGACATAAAAGACTACTGATCTAGTGAGTGAACAACACAGATAAAATTTCTGAAGATGTAATTTGAGATCACTTTTCACAGATATTTTGGAAATAGCGTGTGGGAAACGATACCACCGAAGAAAGCAATTGAGTCATCAAAAGAAAAGAAAGTATATGGGTTATAGAACATATACAGACAGTTTCAGAAATATTTTGTGCAATACATTTTCAAAACTTATAAGTCAAAAATCCAACTGAGTGGGTGATCAGATTATTTGTATTAGTTGATAGTGACATTGGTTATGTTCACAGTATAATTCCATATTACGGAAAACTTACAGGCAACGTGTGTAACTTTCCATACTCTGAAGAACTGTCCATTTCAAGAACAGTTCTTTCCTTGATGGACAGGCTAGAACTAAGTGTGTCTGGTGTTGAAGGTTACCACCTTTTCACAAACCTGATGGCAAACACCTCTACAAAGCAGAGAATTTGTCTTTTTGTACTGCGCTGGTAGGCGCACCAAATTTTCAGGCAAAACAGTTCTCTTAGGAGCTCTGCAAGCGTTTAAAACTCCTTCATGCCCTGTCTCCAGAAATTTTTAATAATGCGACAACTGGGAAGTATTAAGACATCATGTAATTTTGTAGGTAGGTACCAATTTTTCAGAGAAACCTCCTGCCTCCATCTTTAAGGAATGCAATGAAGGCAGGTTATTCTGAAATGTCAGGAACTACCTACATGATGTCATGACCCAGAAGACTATTACTTAAATACGAGGGTAAGTCAATAAGTAAGATACAATTCCATGTAGAACTTAAATAAGAGTACTGATTTGAGAAATGCTTTTATTTCTCAACATAATCTCCCTGTACACTGAAGCACTTGTCCCATTGTTTCACAAGCCCCTGAAAAACAGCAGCATAAAATTATTTGGGCTGCTGTCAGAACCAGGTGGTTCTGACAGTTTCATCGTCCGGAAAATGTTCAGCCGAAAAATGATGTTTAAGAGGTCCGAACAAATGGAAGCCGCTTGGAGCAACACTCATCACTTGTGGCAATTCGGGCTAGCATATTGTGTCCTTCATCGTGGTGGCGATTGAGATGCTGTAATGCCAGAGCCATTCTTTGCATTTTGTGTTGTGGGGTCAGCATGTGCGGCACCCATCGTGCAGTTACTTTGTGAAAACCTAACCTATCATGCGACTTCCATTGGTTCGGCCCTCTTAAACATCATCTTTTGGCTGAACATTTTCTAGACGATGAAGCTGTAGAAAGGGAAGTCACCGCCTGGTTCCAACAGCAGCCCAAAGAATTTTACGCTGCTGGTTTTCAGGGGCTTGTGAAACGATGGGACAACTGCCTCAATGTACAGGGAGATTATGTTGAGAAATAAAAGCATTTTTCAAATCAGTACCGTTCTTTAAGTTCTATAACCATTGACTTACCTACGTATTTATAACACAGGTCTGCAACCAAAAAACTGCATAGGATATTTTTACTAAGTTTAAGGTCTTTCATTCTGGTCCGTCACACTAACCAATTAACAATCAAGTTCCTTAAAACTTAAAAAAGTGTCACATTTGACGGAAGGAACTTGATTGTTAATTGATATTTTTACTGTTTCTTATAGATTTTTACTCACTAAAACCTGAAATAATAGTAAATAAAATCTATCACAATTTTTTTTGCAAAACTCATATTTTTAGTTAAATTTTGTGTGACATTTCTCTTCAACATGAAATCTGGTATCCTATTGTTGATTCTAAAAACCATATCCAATAATTATTTCTTACTTTAAAATAATATTTATAAGAGTGAATCTAAAAAATAATACAAATATAAAATGGGTGGGATGGGGGGGCAGTGGAAGGGGTTG